TATTTTATTTATTTTATTTATTTTATTTATTTTATTTATTTTATTTATTTTATTTATTTTATTTATTTTATTTATTTTATTTATTTTATTTATTTCTTCTAAAAAATATATTATATTTTAAAAAAAAACTTTTATAAAATTTAATATAAAAAAATAATATTTAATATAAAATATATATATATATTAATTATTTTTTATATTATTTAAGATAATAATTATAATAATATAAAAATAATAAGAAATAAGTTTTTATTTAAGAATATATAATACTTATAAATTTAGATAAAATTATTTTCTAGATTATTTATATTCTTATTTTTATTAATATAAAAAATAATAATTTGTTTATTTTTTTTAATTCTTAAATATAAAAATAATTAAATTTAAATTAAAATTTTTAAGAATATTTTAATATTTTTATTTATAATAAAATAATTAATATATATTTAAAGTATAACTATTTTAATTATATTAAATTAAAGATAATTCTAATAATAATAATAAATATCTTAAAAATTATTAAATAAATATTTAATATTAATATTATTAGTTATAATAAATAAAAAATCTTTAATTATCTAATAAAAAATAAGAAATTAATTATAATAAGATTTTTAATAAATAAGAATATTAATATATTTTATAATATTTAAAAAAATATTAATTAAATTAAAAATAAATTAATAAATTATATATTTTTAATATTTAAATATATTTTAAATTTTTTAAATATTTTTATTATAAGTAAAAGTTTCTAATATTTAAAAATATTATAAAAGATTTTATCTAAATTTAAAAATAATTTAAAAATAATAAATAATATATTAATAACTAAATTTTAATTATAATAAAAATAAAATATTTTTTTAAAGATAATTTAGTATTTATTATATTAATTAATATTATTATTAAATTATATATTCTTTTTAAATTTCTTAAATTTAAATATTAGATTAAAAATTATTATAATTATATAAATATAATTTTTTATTTAATAAATATAATAATAATATTTCTATAATTTTTAATATATATTTTATAAGTTTTTAAAAGAAATCTTTTTAAAATACTTATTTTTTTACTAGTTAATTAATAAAATAATCTAGATAATTAAAAAAATTATTATAAATATTATAAATTTTATAAATAATAAATCTATTATTTTTAAATAAATAAAATATAAAAAAAAATAGATATAAAAATTTAAAAAAATACTTTATTTACTTTTATTTAATTAAGATTAGTTAAAGATAATTAATATTAATATAATTATAATACTAAATAAAACTTTTAATTACTTAATAAAGATTAAGTATCTAATAAATTATAAGATAAATTAAATTTTAATAAATCTTATAATCCAGAAAAAAATAATAAATTAAATTAGATTTAAATTATTAAATAAACTAGAACTTCTTACAGTATTAAAAATTTATATTTATAAATTATTTAATTTTCAAAATTTATAATTAAAAATTAGTATAATATACTATTATAAAAAAAAATTTTTAAAAATTATTTATAAAAAGTTTTTATAAATAATTTCTAGAATATATTTTTTTAAGAATTTTTAAAATATTAAAAAAGATTTTAAAGTTTTTATTATTATTATTTTAAATATATTTAGTATTATTTAAGATTTTAATCTAAAGTTTCTATAAAAAATATTAATTATAAATTAAATTATATAAATAAAATAAAGAATATAATATTAATTTTAAATAATTTTTATAAAATTAAAATTAATAAAAATATTATAAAACTGGATATTTTAATTAAATTAAATTTAAAATTTTAATAAAATTAAATTAAATATTAAATTATTATTACTAATATTATTAATTATTATATTTAATAATTAATAAAAAAAATTATATTTATATAAAATTAATAAAATAATTATAATTAGATTTTATTAATATAAAATCTAGATATTAATTAAAAATTTAATAAAATCTTATAATAATTTATATCTTTTATTAAAAAATATTTAGTTAAAATAAAAAATATTTTTTAATTAAAATTAATCTAGTAATTAATTATATTAAATATTTATTTAATATCTAGAAACTTTAATAATAACTTTATTGTAGCATTCCTTGGCTTACCCAAGGATTCTGCCATTCCTTCCCTTGGCCGCCTTCCACACCACCAAATAGACAGAACTCTTACTCACCTGTCCTAGGACACATCCTCAGTTCTACTATTAAATTATTAATTTATTATCATATTTTATTATCTTTCCAGCTATATATAATATATAATAATATATCCTGGTTACCAGATATATTTTTTATATATCTCTAAAAAATTCTAATATTTTTTCTATATTTTCTCTATTCCTATATTCTAAATATATCAGGTACTCTAATCCTATATTTATATATTCTACTTTTCTATATAATTACTAGTCCATGATTTCTACCAGATAAACCTATCTTAATATTTCTATAAATTATAAGCTAACTAAGCCCTTCTATATACCTTATCTACTAAACTCTACTCTAGTTATCTGATTTACAGTAACTAAATTTATATATATTTATACTTTTCTAAAAATATATTTATATTTTTCTAAAAACTATTATTTATCTACTTTTCCTAACTTCTATACTTATTTATTTCTGGTTCTACTATACTACTAATATTCTCTCTTTTTTTTTTTTATTTTTAGCTACTACTCTTCTCCTATTAAATATCTTAGTAAATCCAGGAATTATTCCTAGCTAATTATTCTTATTTATTTTTTTCTCCAAAAATCTTTATATTATTTTATTTATTCATAAGTAATATATCAGTAGAAGAAAAATATCAGGTATAACTATTAAATTATAAATACTAATATTAACTTAGCTTATTCTATATCAGAAATAGTATATCAGATTATCCAATTTTAAAAATATTTAAAAAAATAATTTTACAGCTAGATTAATAGTAATATCTTAGCCTATATTTATTATTTTACTAAATTTACTAATTCTTCTTTATTTATAAAGCAGTAGAAATATTCTCTAGACTAAAATATTACTTATTCTATATTATATAGAGATATTATTAATTTTATTAGATAAACTTAATATCTCCTCTTCTTTAACTAATATATCTATTAATATAAAAATATTTAGAAAGCCCCTGAAGATTTCCAAGAATTAGAACCACTATTTATAATTAATTAAATATAATTAAAATCTACCTTAACTATAGCTATATTCTTAATATTACTCTTATCTTTATATTCTAGAATATCTATAACTTCTATTTCTAATCCTATTAAAAAAGAAAAAGAACTTATTCTAGTAAATCCAGAAAATTCTAACTATCCGAGAACTTTTAAATAAATATATCCTAAAATTCCAGCTACTCTAAAAAGAATTAATTTTATAGATCTTAATAATACTACTACTTCTTACTATTCTATAAATCTTAGTATTCCCGGAACTTTTCTATTATTAGTTAAATTAAATACTTTATTACCTCTTTTTATAATCCTATTAGATATATTTTCTAATTTAAATAATCCTATACTCTAGTACAGTTATTAAAGAAACTTAAATACTAGTTTAAATTTCTTATATTCTAGAGTATATTTTATAAGAATTATTATTTCTTCTAACCCTATAATTAAATATATACTACAAGATAATATAACTAAGCCTCCTTATTCTTAAGATATTTATAGTCAGGATAATTCTTAATATTCTTAATATATATAATACCAGCCTTAGAATATACTATAGTATTAGAATATTTCTTAGAATTAAAAAAATCAATAATAAAATTAATTATAAAATATTCTACAGTAGATTCTTAAACAACTTACAATATTAAAAAACTATTCTATACAGAATACTTCTACCCTAAATTCTTTACTAGTTAATCCAGATAAAAACTTTAATTCTAGTAATTTTATACTTAATAATTTTATATTATTTACTAATTTATTTATATTACCTAGTCCTCCTGGAAATCTATCTCTTAATAATACTAGTAATATTTCTTAATTTTTTTATTCTAGAGATAATAGAAACCTAAATATTTAAGAATTTATTTATTATATAATATATATTAAAAAGATAAAGCCTGAAGAGATTAGATTTTTCTATTCTAATATAGCTAATAATAAAGTTATAAAGTAAATTAACTATATTATATATTATAAAAATATTAATATATTTATTAATTATATTAAAAATATTATTTAATACTATAAAAAAGCTGTAATTAAAATAAATTTATAAATTTATCTTTAGAAAACTATATTTATCTAGTATATAACTAGTCTTACCAAGATTAAGAAGTATTTAATAACCTATATTAATCTAATTAATAATTAGATTAAAGAACTCAAGAAGAGGTTTAAGCTAAATATCTTTAATATTATAAATAAATTAAATACTATATACTTTATCTTTATTAATATATAAGTTAATTAGTATATTAAATAATTTACCCAGGATATTATTTAATATATCTAAGTAGTATAAATAAATAATATATTTAACTAGATTATATATATCTAGAACTATATTAATCCTTATTTATATATTAATATATCCAGGCTATTAGAGTAGATAATAATTACTAAGTTTTTTAAATAACTTAATTAATATTAGTATAATTAGAAGAATTTAGTTTAAGTTTCCTATAAAAATAGTAAGAATTCTTATAAAAATTCTAATATTTATAAATCCTAAGTACCCTAAGAACATGAATCCCAGAATTATAATTATAATTATAATTATTATTATAATTAAAGTAGTTAAGATTACAGTATTAATAGATAATTCAGAAAATTAAATTAAGAAAATACCCTATTTCTAAACTAGTAATAATTTAGTAACTATTATATTCTTTTTTAATATAATTAATAACTTTATTAATTATATTAGTAAGCCTAAGTACTATACTAAAAATAGTAATAATAGAATTAATATCTTTTTTAACAGTATAATCAATACCTGTATTAGAATATAGAACTATCTACCAGCTCTTCTCTAAATTATAATAATTATTAGCCCTAGAATTAATCCTAGTAATTCTAATAGTAAAACCAGTAAGCTTAGTAAAATTAAGAATAATATAAATAATTATATAATTATTAGAATAACTAAAGAAATAATTATAACTAAGATTATAATAATTAATTTTAAAAAAATATATATATTATAGTTACTAATTTAACTATACTAGAATCTTAGAAATATCTCTCTGAATAATATTAATATAATATACCCCCTTAATTTAAGTATTTATTCTTATATAAGCCTATATATATACACCCTCTATATACCAATGCTTCTTATATTAAATTAATATTTAAATATATATAGTAACTAATAATTAGATTTATTAAAGAACTTCCGGATAATCCTGTTATACTATATAATAAACCTAAGAATACCTTTAATAATATCTATTAAAATAAGATATATACTATTAAAGTTAATCAGCCTAATATACTTCTTATTAAAAATATTAAGCTTCTAGAGATCTCTATAATTATAAATACTAATATTTTTTCTATTAATTATATTTAATATACCTCTACTTTTCTATCTTAAAATATTTTATATAAATATTTACCTTATAAGTTAAAATTATTAAAAATTATTCCTATTATCTTTTCTACTAATTCTATAATTAAATTAAATTAGTATAAGAAAAATATTATCTCTAGTATCTTTTTATATACTTAATATTCTGTAATAGTACAGGCTGGATTAAATATAATATAATTATATATTCTAGTATACCTAGATACTAACTACTTATTTATAATTATTAATACTATATTAGTAAAATTAATTAATATTCTAATTTTATTAATAAAAGCCTCTTTTAATATTACTAGAATCAGTTCCAGCTACTAAATTAAAGAGTTTATAGTTTTTAAACTATATTTTCCTTATATTAAAAATCAAATTAAAAATATATCTATTTCTATATTTACCTATATTATAGTTAAAGTATTTCTTATTAAAGATCTTTAACTAAATCTTCTTATTAGAATTAATATAATTAGCTGTAAAAATATTATTCTAAATACTAAAAATCAGATTATAGTTATTTATAGATATAATAATTTTATTATTCTAGTATAGACTATTATCAAGACTAACAGAATTAATATTTTTATATATATAGTTTAGTCTATAATTATTCCATCTTATTTAAAAGTTTATATATTAATTAAGATTTATAGAAACCTTTCTAATACTAATTTTATATTTAAGCTGTATAATAGTACTGGTATTTCTATATATACTTATTTTATTAATACTAACTTTTTATTTATTAAAGTAGTTAATAAATTAACAAAACTAGTGATTCTTAATCAGTAAACCTGAATTAGTACTCTTATAAATAATAATTATATAATAATATATTTAGTAAAAGATAATACTACTAAGTTAAGTTATTTATCCCTATATTTTAAAAAATCTTAAGTTAAAAATATATTTCTAAAAAATCTATATTCTAATATTATTAATACCAGTTATTAATTATATATTACTAAAGCTTTAATATTTACTACAGATATCAGTATTTCCAGAAGTAAAAAAAAACCTGTTTTTAGATTCTCTAAGTCTTTATCTTATTTTTTATAAAAAACTCCTTTATAAAAACTATCCTCTATTTTTTTATATCCAGTATAACCCTTACTCTGTATTACTAATATAAATAAAAACCTTATTATAAAACTTATAAATAATATTATTATTTATACTAAAGATAATACAACTACTTATATATTAAAAAAGATCTTTATATTATATAATATTTAGATAATATCTGATAATTTAAATATTAGTATTACTAATATTCCAGAGAATTATTAATTATATATACTATTTAAGAAAAACTAGGAAAATTAAATATCTAAATTAAAGATTTATTATATTCTATAACCTAATCAAGAAATTATTAATAAAATCTTTAATCCCCTGTATTAAGCTAGTAAAATATTATATATTACTAGTTATATATCCTCTATATATTTAGTTTTTATAATATAAAAAATTATTAATAGTAATTCTAAAAAAAGAGTTATTATTAACCTCTAGGAAATAAATTATAAAACTAAATCTAATTTATATCTAATTCCTACACAAGAGGATATCTTTTATATAATTAAAGAATATTAATATATTAGTATATTTAATCTTATATTATGCTTCTATTAGTAGCTGGTATAAAAAAATTATAAAAAATATTTTATAATTATTACCTATTAAAGCCAAGAAATTTTCTATATTATTATTATAGGATTTATTAATTCAGTTCTATTTATCTAAAAGTAAATAAATCTGATACTTAAGTAATTCTATATATTTACTTAAGCTTATATTAATAATATTATAGTTATATCCTATATATTTAAGAAATATAAGAACTACTTTACTACTGTTCTTAAATATCTTAAAAATATAAATTTAAAGCTTAAATTAACTAAAACATATATTAGTTTTTCTTTAATTATTTTACTCAGCTAGAGAATTAATTTTCTTAATTTAACTATTCCCGAGTCTAAGATAAAGATAATTAAAATCCTCTTATTTTTATTAAACCTTACTAAACTTAAGTATTTTCTTAATCTAACCAGATAGTTTTACTACTATATTAATTATTATACTTAAAAAATAAATCCCCTGTAAAAGTAAAAAACTTAATTATTAAGATTTTATACTAGTAGATACCAGGATTATACTATAAAAACTCCTATTACAAACCTGACCACTAAAAAACTATAAATATTTAAATAGTTAAAGAAAAACTTCTCTAATCTAAAATATCTTATATATTTCAAGCCTAATAAGTATTTTTATATAAATCTAGATATAAGCTATAAAGAAATAAGTATTATAACTTACTATTTTATTACTAAATATATTTATAAATTTTTTAAGCTGTCTATATATACTATAATCTATCTAATTATATTCTTATCTTATATTCTTATAAATACAAAGAATAATTACTAGTCTATTAAATTAAAAATCTCTTATCTTATCTAGATACTCTAAAAACTCTATTATTTTATATAAATAACTTATAAACCTATAGTTATATATACAGATTATATCTTAACTATAGGTATTTCTAAATAAATAATATTTAATACTATATTTATAAAATACTTAAATTTATAGTTAATTTAAGCTTCCTAATATATTTAATAATTCTAATTACTGGTTTTTTATTATTTTAGAGACTCTAATATAGTTACTAATATTTTATCTTAATTTTCCTAAATTAAAGAAGTTCTATATATTTAAAAACATAACCTTAAAAATATTCTAGTTAATATATTTTTAGTCTATTTAAATACTTCCGTATTTATAATCTATATAATTAAAATTAATAATAAATTTAAGAAGTATATTATTAATAGTTATTCTAAAAACTTAAGAATAAAAGAGATTATAATTATTCTTACTACTAATCCTAATATAAAACTCTTTTATATAAAATATAATAATAATTTATTTTATATAATTAAATATATTATCTATAATCCTTCTATTAAAGAAACTATAGTTAATTCTAAGAATAATAATTCTACTAACTTCTATTCTAGTAAAAAAAATATTACAGATAATACTTTTACTATTATTAAAAAGACTTAATTATATTTTCCTTATTCTATAATTCTTAATATTTTCAAAATTATATATAATAATAATCAGTATTAAGAATATAAAAAATATATTTAAGAATTTAATAATTTAGCTATTTACTAAGATTAAAAATAATTATATAAGTATATTATTTATTATCTAATATATTTATAGAATAAGATATATTATTATAAATTATATAAATTACTCCAGCTAATTATCCCTTTTACCCTTTTTTATATTATAATTATAGATTTTATTACCTTACTTCCTTCTTACAGACCTGATTTCTTTGATTTCTTACTAATAATTATTAATAAATTTACTAAATATATTAGTTTATACCCCAGGAAATCTATATAAAAAGCAAAATAATAGGATATTATATTAATCAAGTATATATAAATATATAACTAAGATATTCTATACTTCTTTATTTCTAATAAAAATACCTGTTTTATATCCAAGTTTTAGAAGAGTCTATTCTTAAAACTATAAATTAAATAGTTTTATAATATTACTACTTATCTATAAATAAATAATTAAAATAAATATATAATTTAAACAGTTAAAGTCATAATTTACTATAATATTATCTAAAAATATATATAACTTTTTATATTACTGTTAATTATATCTATAATTAATTTAATACCCTTAGCTACTATAAAAGAAACTCTATATAAATTAATATTCAGTATTTTCCTTTAACAGCTCTAATATTTAGTTAAGATAATATTTAGAAAAACTATTTCAGGTTATATTCTTAATATCCTGAATATCCTAAATATTCTTATTTTAGATACTCTAAGAAAAGTCCCTGATATTATTAAAAATAATTAATCAGATATTAACAGTATTAAGAAAGATTCTACTAATTCTGTTATTTTTATTATTAAATAATCTAATAAATAAATAACCTGTTCTGGAATATATTATTTATATATTAAGATTATCATCCCTTCAGCTGCTGGTAAAAAAAATTCTATTATTAAATTAAAGAAAAACTATAATTATCTCAGGAAAAATATTATAATTAATATTAATAATATTTAAAACTTTTTATTATATTTTAATACTAAGAAGATCCTTAAATTTATCTTTATCTATATAAAATATTCTTATAATAACTACTATTTATCTATATTATTTACTCCTGGTAACTATATTTATTTATATTTATACTATAATTATACTATACTAATTACTGCAACTATTAAAAGAAAATTTACTTAATAATATACTAGTCCTTTTCCTATTATTAAAATTATTAATTAATATATATATTAACTGTAATTACCTGAGTTGTAGTTAATATATCCTATTATTTTAGTAGTATAATTAGAATCTATTTATAATATTAATAACCCTAATTCTTATAATCAGACCCTTGTAAAATCTTTATAAGTCCAGGATAAAGTATTTTCTAATAATAATATATATTAAAAAATTAAAGTTATTCTAGTTAAGTATATTATATTCTAAAAATACTACTATACTCCCGTGGCCTAGTATCTAATTAGATAAAAAGAATATAATTCTAAAAATAATATATAAATATATATCTTAGATATTAATATTCTTAAATTACTTTACTAGTTTAAAAAGTACTAGTCCTTTTAATATTAGTATATTTAATATTTTAATTCTTTATTTTCTGGTTTATCTATATACTCTCTCTATCTTTCCTATCTTCCAGTATTTTTATATTTATTTTTTTATTTTATAGTCTAGTTTCCCAGTTAATTAATTACTATATTTATTATCAATATCTAAAAAAAGTATATATATAATTATTAATCCATATAGATATTAATCTTATAGAACCAGTATATATAGTATTTTTTAGCTTACCTAAGGATTCTACTATTTCTTCCCTTAGCTATCTTCTATACTACTAAACAGATAGAACTCTCGCTTACCTGTCCTAGGACATATCCTTGGTTCTATTATCAAACCATTAATTCATCATCATATTTCATCATCTTTCCAGCCACACGTAACATTTATATATTTTTTTTAAATAATTTTAATAAATATTCTTTAATCTATATTTAATTAGAAGAACTTAATCTTTAATAAAAAATAAAATAAAAAAATTATTTATTTATTTAAATTATATATATTTAATAATTTAGAATAATAAATAATAAATAATTATAAAATATAAGATTTAATCTTAAAAAATCTTATTTATTATAAATAATAAAGATTTAAAGATAAAAAATAATTAATAAAAATTTATTTTGAAAGAATAAATAAATATCTATAATAATTCTTTATTTAGTATTTAATTAATTATTTATTTAAATATAATTAAAAATATTTTTTTTATAATTTTTATAAAAATAATAATTTATAAAATTAGTTTCTAAGTTTTTAATTTTTAGATATTATAAAATATAAAAATATATAAAATAATAGATATAAAAAATTTTATTTAAAAAATAATATATTCTTTTTAAAATTTTTCTATAATATTAATAATTTCTTCTAATTAAAGTAAAATAATAATTTTTAAATTTATAAATAAGTTTTAAAAAATTATCTTTTATTATTAATTATAAAAAATAAATTTTTTTTTATAAAATTAGATATAGAATAATTTTCTAATTTTTTATAATATATATAATCTTAAGATTTAAAAAAAATAAAAATTTAATTTAAATAACTTATCTTAATTTAAAATTTATTATTATTTATAAAAATTTAAAAAATAAAAAAAAAGTAATAATAATATTTTTTAAAAATAAATTAAATAATTATAATTAATTTATAATATTAAAAAAATTTTATAAATAATAAATTAATAAAAAAAAATAAAAAAATTTTATAAAGATAATATTATTTAATTTAAAAATATATTTATATATAAATATAACTTATTATATTTTTTTTAGTTTAATTTATTTACTATATTTATTATTATTAATAGATATAATAAATAAAAAATTATATTTAAAATTTAAAATTATTAAATATTTTTTTTAAATAATTTAAATACTTAATTATTTAGAGTTATATTTAAAATTAAAACTTAAATAATCTTTTTTTATTATAAATTTAAAATCTAAATATATTATTTTATTAATATATAAATTATATCTTAATAAATATTTTATTATTTATATTTTAATTTTTAAAAATCTTATAATTTTAATATATCTAATTTTTTCTAAAAATCTAAATATAAATATTAAATAAAAATAATAAATTTAAATAAAAAAAATATTTATATAAAAAAAATTTAAAAAAGACTTTTATAAAATCTATTATTAAAAATATAATATAATATCTAATATTTAGATTAAATAATTATAAATAATATAATTATTAAGATAAATTAATTATATAATATAATATAAATAATTTTTAATCTAATATATAAATAATTAAGACTTTTTTTAATAAAAAATAAGAAAATATTAAGTTTATTAAATTTATTTAAAAAAATTTAATAATAATTTAAAATATTATACTAGTTCTTAATTATTATTTTAATAATAAAAATATAATATTTCTTATATAATTTATTAGATTTTTAGTAGATAATTTAAATTAAATTATAATTATATATTTTTTTTATATTTTTTACTATAAAAATAATAATATTTTAAAAAATTAAATTATATTAATATTACTAGAATTTTCCTATCTTTTCTTATAAATAAAAAGAAAAAAAAATATTATTATATTTTTTAATTATTTTTTTATTCTAGAAAGCTTATCTTTATATATTTTTAGATAATAATTAAAATAATTAGATTAATTTTTATTTAATTTAGATATATCTTAACTATATTAGAGCTAAAAGAATATAATAAATAGATTTTAATATTAAGAATAATTAAGATAATTAATTATCTTATTTTTAGTTATATTATAATCAGGTATAAAAATTTCTTTAATCTGATTATTAACCTATAGTTAGGTATAAAAGTTTCTATTAACCTAACCTGACCTGGCTGTTAGCCACTCTATATATAAGCCAGCAGTGCAGAGCTGTATTTAGTATTAAATCTAGATATTTTGAACTTATATAATTCAACAACAAGAATACTTAAAAATTTTAAATAAATATATTATAGAAAT